ATATTATTTGTACCGGGCTGAATTAATACAAAATGAATGTTCTGTGCACTTATACAGAAGGTTGTTTTGAATAGTAGTGATCCCTTTGATATCAATCTGCCAAAGAAACCGTTATAATGAGAAATATCATGAAGGACGCGGTTCAGTTTTAGTGCAAATATCATCACGGTATTTGCTTTAGTTCAATATTTTTGTTAATGCATTGATTTTTCCTTTTTCCGGACATGACTAAGGCTAACCAGCTTTCTCCGAGCGTTCTCACATGTGTCACGTTAAAAGAGCGTTGGAAAAACAGGGATGTTCAAAACCGCACTATTGAAAATGTGCAGAACAATAATGTCTGTGAATGCAGTATTGAGTCGTACAATTATATTTGTTCCAAGTCATTCTATAAAGAGTCGAGACAAAGATTAGATTAGCATTAGCGTTAGCATCACATCTGTTGTCATGATTAAATAGTGCCACAGCATGTTTCTGAATAGATTAATTGTCTAATATAGTTATTGCATTTGAGCACGAAATGTTAATTGTGGGGAAGGTCTGAGTGTCAAAATGAGAGGTAGATTCAAAAATGTTCAAAAAAATAAATACAAGTAAATACTGTGTCGTCTCTCTGTGTCTCCTAAGTTTTTAGAAGAAGGGGAAATTGTGGGGAAATGTCAGTTTGATGCATACAGAACACACGAGGCCTGCAGCGAGCGTTACTTCTGCACACTTTATATACAACGTGGCGGTTAGGTGTCTTGCCCAAGGACACAACAGCCGCAGACATCAGTGGAGTCAGTGGAGAAGATGTCACGGTGGATTCAAACCCACAACCTTCAGACTCAAAGGCCAATGCTCTACCAGCTGAGCCACTGTCGCCTAATACGTTGTCACTCCACCCACCCATGTTATGGCTGCTACTGGACACCTGAGGAGGGGGGATCTATCTATCTACTGTATCTGTCTGTCTATATATCTATCTATCTATCTATCTATCCATCCATCGATTGACTAAGGACACCCTCTTTTCCAGGTAAGCATTACATAAATAGCACTGACCTATACAAATAACCTTCCCGTGCCTTATCAAACTTCCACTCCGTAAACAAGCCGCTCTTTCTCAAACTGTTTGTCTTTCCGCTGCGGCCGCTCTTGAAGCCCAGTGAATAAAACGTGTTTAGAAACCTGTAAATATTCTGCACATGTGAAGCCATGTCCCGGTGCGGTCTCTCCTCGGCTCCTGTCGGTCCGTCTTTAAATAGTCCAAATAATGAGACCACATTTTTACTCAAATAAAACATATACATACTTAAAACAGGACGCGAGGCAAAAACAAGCAGTGGGTATTTCTGTTCTTCGAGCGGGATTTTAATTGAATAGTTTCTTGAAATATAAGCAAATAGTAAATACATCTGTAAATTAGAAAAACATGGACCTGACCAATTCCACTCCGGTTATTTTGGCTTTTTTCTCGGGGTTTGGATGTGTTTCAGAAGATGAAGTCGTTGGTCTGTCATACCCGCAAAGCCAGATCCTGTCAGACCTCTGGAGAGCAGGACAGGGCCTGGTTAGTACTGTGATGGGAGACCTCTGGGAACATCAGGTGCCACAGTGGGGCGGCTGCGGCTGCAAAGTGCCAAACTAGATAAGGCAAATAAGTAAACAACCAATGGAATGGCCAGACTTAGCGAGCGGAATAAAAGCTGCGTCCGAGACATTTACAGAATACACACTCCCTACATTTCCTCAAAAAGTACAGTTCTTTGCTTTGATTTGTTGGGTCAAATTGTACAATATAAACAAGATTGCTCCAATGTACGTGTAGCATTCATGTGTCACGAACAATAAAGTAAAGTAAAGTAGCTGCTCATGTCAATACTGTAAATAATTTAACAAAAAAATCCCTATTCATACAAATGTCGTGAGCAACATGTTTCAGAAAATATGTTTGATGTTTCAGTTCACAAAAATTCTCTCATATTATAATAGTAAGTAAGAAATGTTTATTTATATACCGTAGCGCATTTTACAGACCAAGGCACAGACTCAAAGCACTTTCCAATATTCAGAGTCAGATATACTGTAGTTCCAATCACGCCGAACAAACTGGACCATCAAAGCCTCCGACCACACACCATCCATTCACTCACTCATTTACATTCATACCTATTGTGCATGTTTTTAGTGGTAGGGGAAACAGGAGCACCCGGAGGAAACCTACGCAGACACGGTGAGAACATGCAAGCTCCACTCAGAAAGGCCCTATTCAGACCGAGATTCGAACCCAACCATCCACCGTGCCGCCATCATAGATTAAGATTTCTCCATAATTTTTTGTCAACTAAAATTGGAAATGCAAAATAAGATCAGATGACAAAAAAATTGACAATAACTATAATGAATGTAAGTCAAAAAACTAAAACAAAGTCAAAATGAAGTCTGCCGATGTCGCCTGTGCACCAGAGTCGACCCAAAGCCAGACTAAAGCCAGACCGAGGACCGAAGCCAAGACACGCTATGGACGCCAACCGATACGTACTGTAAATATACATTGTTTGTATGTCCACTGCGTCACCGTGGCAACAGCCTCACGCTCTCCTACTGCAGGATATTAAAAGTGCCCGAGGACGTGGGTTCAACTCTGTGTACTTTGGATAAGCTCTGGTCTGGTCCACAGAGAGACCAAAGAACAGCAACAAAACCCTACTATTGATTGGAATTAATTGCTAATTGCGTCACAGAGAAAAATAACAAACATTTTTCTCCAAAGTTTGGCTTTTAATTCAACGGCTTTCAGGCTAATCAGCACATGTAAGGCCCGGGAGCTTATTTGCCATGTTTCTGTGTTACTGTGAGCGTAACACACACGCCTCCAAGCACACGGAACTATGTGTAACTTACTCTAATGACTATCTTATGTTTCCGTCTGCACTTTGACCCGGCCGTTTTACCGTTAACAAATTAGGATCTTGTTGGCAGCCGGCTTCTCCCAGTCCCACCACAGTCTGAACTCATTTATGGTGAGTTTTTGGGGGAGATAGTGTTTTCTTTGGTCCTGTTCCCATCTCGCTCTGGCTTGTTTAAATGTTCCCCAGTCTCATACATTACAGCAGCAGAGCGGAGGCCGAGGACGCAGCACTTTGAGTCCCACCGAGCACTTAAGGGCCTCCGATGACGGACGAGACATAATCACACACGTGCAGGTTCAGGCTGCAGCTCCGGGACAGTGTGGGGAACAGTGTTAATGTGGTACAAAAGTAGTGTGACGACTGTTATGTTTGCTTTTTGCAGTAGTGTAAGGCATTCGTAACAAACCTGAGTAATATTTGAGTCGGTAGAGAGATCAGTAACGCTGCATTTAATTTTAACCTGAAATTAAACAGTATTTTTTTCTATACTCTGCCCCGAGATTAGCAGAGAACACATCTGCTCCGATAGTATTTCTCTAAAAGTGTTTTTCCTTTAAGGTAGAAGACGCTGAGGCTGAAGCAGAAGCAGCTCTACGTGGACAATAGTACATTTTACAGATGGACAGACTCATTATTTAGAGTTTATTAAAGATGTGGAACAGAAAAGTTAAGTTTATGTTCAAAACAAAAGCTCTATCAGCCTCACACATTAGCATCATAAGCTACATTAGCATCATAAGCTACATTTTAATTTGTATTATAATTTATATATATTTTTATATATATTTGGGGAAAGTATCTTCAAAGTAATGTGTGTGGTGCTTGTAGTGCTTCACAATATTGTAGTAACGCAATACTTACAAGACAAGTTGTATATGTTTTCAGAACTTTAATGACGTTCACTTGTATTGATGCTGTTTTACTTTTGTTTTAGCTTTTAAATTCACGTACTTGTCTGGTGCACACTGGGGACTCTTGCACATGTATACCAATGTTGTTTTACTGCAAATAGCAAATAAATGTATCATGAGCAACCTTTCCCAAATAGTGGTCCCGGTACCTGCTCTCAAACTGAAATAGAATTCTACAGTTCACTCAAAAACCTCCATCAGAAATACTTTTCCCTTTTCTGAGTCAGTCGAAGCAGCCGTTTCAGTCGGTCTGGGTGGTCGGACGGCATCAGGTGGGCTGCGTGTAGCTCAGTGATTTTGAGGACTTACAGGGACGTCATACAATCTGTCTTTTTAGATTTATCAGAATTGACGCCGTGTTACTTCACGGTGCAGTCACTGTGTTTTGTTTTGGAGAGGATCATATCGTTGTTGTTTCTAGTGTTAGAATTACGCTGCGAGGGGCAAAGCTCTTTGAAGAGTTCACAGTCTGCGATGGGCCACATGGTCTTTTTCACCTGGAGATAATATGCACCTAATGTCCAGCATCAACTGATAAAACTGCATTCTGACTTAAATTATAACACTGTAGATTTATATAGTGCTCCACATGTCGTTAGAATTTAACTCCAAACACGTTGGTGATGAACTACCCTTATAGCCACAACTGCCCTGGGGCACCCTGACTGAAGCGAGGCAAACAGTATGTGCCATCGACCCCTCCAACCACAACCAACCATTTACGGACACACCAGAATGATTCTAGGAAATGTGGGTAAAGTGTCTTGCCTATGGACACAACCACAATTTGGCAGTTTTCAGCCGCCCCACTGTAGCACTTACTGATCCTAGAGGTCTCCCATCACAGTACTAACCAGGCCCTGCTCTGCTTAGAGGTCTGATGGGATTTGACTTTTTCATGCAAGTATGGCCACCTGTTGTGTCTTCTAAATTGTGAGTGCCTTTTTTTGCTTCACCATAGCTTTGTAATGAAAAATATGCATAAATTGCCTATTGGGCCCACAATATTTGTAAAAGAGATTAGGCTGTAGACCCAGGACTGAGGCTGTAGACCCAGGACTGAGGCTGTAGACCCAGGACTGAGGCTGTAGATCCAGGACTGAGGCTGTAGATCCAGGACTGAGGCTGTAGACCCAGGACTGAAGCTGTAGATCCAGGACTGAGCCTGTAGATCCAGGACTGGAACCAGTTTGGGTTAGTCTGTATCATTGTCTGTATCATTGTCTGTGTCATTGTCAGTGTCATTGTCGGTATCATTGTCTGTGTCATTGTCAGTGTCATTGTCTGTGTCATTGTCAGTATCATTGTCTGTATCATTGTCAGTGTCATTGTCGGTATCATTGTCTGTGTCATTGTCAGTGTCATTGTCTGTGTCATTGTCAGTATCATTGTCTGTATCATTGTCTGTGTCATTGTCTGTGTCATTGTCTGTATCATTGTCTGTGTCATTGTCTGTGTCATTGTCTGTATCATTGTCTGTGTCATTGTCTGTATCATTGTCTGTGTCATTGTCAGTGTCATTGTCTGTGTCATTGTCAGTATCATTGTCTGTGTCATTGTCTGTGTCATTGTCTGTATCATTGTCTGTGTCATTGTCTGTCTCATTGTCTGTGTCATTGTCTGAGTCATTGTCTGTGTCATTGTCTGTGTCATTGTCTGTGTCATTGTCTGTGTCATTGTCTGTATCATTGTCTGTGTCATTGTCTGTATCATTGTCAGTGTCATTGTCTGTGTCATTGTCTGTGTCATTGTCTGTGTCATTGTCTGTATCATTGTCAGTGTCATTGTCAGTGTCATTGTCTGTATCATTGTCTGTGTCATTGTCTGTATCATTGTCAGTGTCATTGTCTGTGTCATTGTCTGTATCATTGTCAGTGTCATTGTCAGTGTCATTGTCTGTATCATTGTCTGTGTCATTGTCTGTATCATTGTCTGTGTCATTGTCTGTCTCATTGTCTGTGTCATTGTCTGTCTCATTGTCTGTGTCATTGTCTGAGTCATTGTCTGTGTCATTGTCTGTGTCATTGTCTGTGTCATTGTCTGTATCATTGTCAGTGTCATTGTCTGTGTCATTGTCTGTGTCATTGTCTGTGTCATTGTCTGTATCATTGTCAGTGTCATTGTCAGTGTCATTGTCTGTATCATTGTCTGTGTCATTGTCTGTATCATTGTCAGTGTCATTGTCTGTGTCATTGTCTGTATCATTGTCAGTGTCATTGTCTGTATCATTGTCTGTGTCATTGTCTGTATCATTGTCTGTGTCATTGTCTGAGTCATTGTCTGTGTCATTGTCTGTGTCATTGTCTGTGTCATTGTCTGTGTCATTGTCTGTATCATTGTCTGTGTCATTGTCTGTATCATTGTCAGTGTCATTGTCTGTGTCATTGTCTGTGTCATTGTCTGTGTCATTGTCTGTATCATTGTCAGTGTCATTGTCTGAGTAGTTCTTGGATGAATAAAGTCTGGAAACTTCTGACATAACCCACAAACTCCAGTCGTTGTCGTTAAAGCGAATGGTTAATGTAAACTTTTGGCACGTGTAAATGTGAGCACACGCCACAATGAAAGTCATGGAAGTAATATCCTTCATGTAAATATGCAGAACTTTGATCCATAACCCCCGCTGGCCCCGCCCCCGTCGGCACAGCGCCTCCTGAGCCGGGACCCGCTGCAGAAACCGCGGCTGTCATCACCGCGCTGTGCAAACAAATTAGAGCCGTGATTAATGGAAGGATATTAGCACCTGCGTCTCATCCCGCTGTGAGGATGGGAGACCTGCACGGCCCTCGCATTCCTCCGCACGGAAACACACCGATCTCCAAATATACAAGGTGTCGTAATTGTGTCGGGGCGTCATGACAACGGCTCACATGAAGACGAATCGGACGAGGGCGATGTGCAAAGTCAGCGAGAAGTGCTGCCTTTTGAAACAAGTATTAGGTTCAGGCTGTTGGCAGAGGATCCATCTGGGACAGAGAAACTGCTGCAGGAAGTGAGGCCTAATGGAGCAAAGATGAAGAGATGCTTTATTAGTCCCACAGAGGGGGAAATGTCAGTGTTGCATCACCGGTTACAGGACAGTAGGGATGAGGAGAACACAGCACAAGGTAAATGAACAAAAACTAATATTATTGTTATCGCTAGCGTTAGCAAAATAAGGAAGTAAGTATAAGAATCTCTAGCTTTAGCAATTTTTTTTATTATTATTTAACCTTTTTTCAACCAGGAAAGTCCCAGTGATATTAACAACCACTTTTTTAACGACCAGAGGCAGCAAAAGTGACACACAATTACATAAAATGACAGATTATTAAAACAGTTGCATGTCTCCAGTGATCTCTGTCTGGACTTAAAAGCGTTCAATGTTTAAAGTTTTTCCAGTATTTTTGCAACAAGTTCCATGTAGAAGGAGCATAGGAAACACATTTTTATTTTTTTCCAGTTCTATACAAAAGCAACAGAGAAAAACTAAAGATAATTTGAACTTAAACCATAAGAACCAACATCTCTGTGTGTGGTTAAATAACAGATGTGAGAGGGCAGCAGAGCATGGCCTTACACACCAAAGTGCACCGGTGTCCTGACCCCCTGGTGGACAAAGAAGGCCATCACACTCCGATATATAATCCATTAAGAGGGGTCAAGGTTTTTCAGTCAGTGAAGAACCAGAAGCAAGAGACAGTGGCATTTAGCATAATAAAGAAGAACGTAAGTATTCGTTATTTATATAGCGCTGTTCACAGACCGGAGCTCACCTGTTTTTAGTGGTAGGGGAAACTGGAGCACCCGGAGGAAACCCACGCAGACAAGGGGAGAACATGCAAACTCCACCCAGAAAGGCCCCGTGCTAACCACTCAGCCACCATGGCGCTCTCTTCCAGGGCAGACAATTATAGTTGCATGTTTATATCTGTGTGTCAGCAGCATCGGAGCAACAGTGGCCCAGTTGGTAGAGCAATGGCCTGTGAGCCTGAAGGTCGTGGGTCCTATCCCATCCCCTCCACTGACTCCCACTGATGTCTGCTGTCATTGTGGCAAGACACTTTACCAGAAGCCCCCGATGAAAGATCAAGGCTGTGTTGTCCGGTGCTTTGTGGATTGGGTGCAGCTGATTGCCCCCGACCCAGAACTTAACAAAGGGGAAGAAAATGGACGGATGGATGCTTGCAGCCCTGGGACAAATTGACACATGTGGTTCTGTGTTGCACATTCTGACATGATTGCACATGATTGCACAAACGCACAACATGTGAGGTCAGGTCCTGTTCGTTAATAACACAATTGAGATAAACCAAATACAACACAAACATCCCTTGCACCACAGAATGATTAGTGATAGTGAAGGCCATGGTTGCTATGGTTTCACCGGACACAAATCATTAAAACAGGGCGTCTCGGCAGAAGAATAGTCTTAATAAGTTGTTTTAGGATCCGTGACTGTGATGAGGAGTTGTGTTACTTTATCTGGCGGTCCTTCAGAGATGATCCAGTTTTCTGGGAAACAGACGTCATGAATAAACTGAACCCATGGCTCGGATCCTATAGGCTCCAACGTTTACATCATCCTCCTCCACAGACACACACACAAGGGTTTCTAAAGTCGCACTAAAATATCAATTGATCGTAATGTGTATTTCAAAACCTGCAGATCAACTTAGACCTCTGAAGCTAAGCAGGGCAGGGCCTGGTTAGTGCTCTGATGGGAGACCTCTGGGAGCCCCAAGTGCCACAGTGGGGCGGCTGTGGCTGTAATGTGCCCAAACTGTGGTTGTGTCCTTAGGCAAGATACTTCACCTACATTATAATGAGCCTGGTGTGTGTGTGAATGGTTGGTGGTGGGAGGGGCTGATGGCACAGACTGGTTGCCTCGCTTCTGTACAGTAGGTCCCATTTCGTTTTGTCGCCTTTCACGCGTGAATTGCACGAGGCTCACGCGCGAATCACGTGTCTTTTCTTTTTTTTTTCCCCCAGTGACGCTGCAAACGACCAAAACAACCACCAGGTGGCACTTGTGAGCAGGGTTACATTGGCGTCTCATCGCTCTTTCTTCTCTCTTCACCGGACAACTATCTGTGGCTTTAAGCCTAGCGTACTGTACATCGGACTGGCAACTGATTATATCCGTCGCCTACTGTATGAGTTTCTGCCCCGCGCACATCGACAATCTGGTTAAAACGGGCAACTCCTTGTAGCAGGCCAGTCTCTGGAATAACCCGCAGACATTAAAACTACTGCATATAACGTAAACTTTTGCATCACGTTGGTGATCTTTCCAAAAAGAGAGAATATCGTTATGGAAACTACTTCCGGGTTTTTCGGGATCGCCTTTTCTCGCATTACATCAGTGTTTTTGTCATGAAAACGTAAACGGAAAATTCTGAAAACTTCCGTGCACTTGTATTAAGACTGGATTTGTATAATTCACTCTCCGATAAACATTTCATTGCGTTGATTGATTGGCATTTGCGTTTATTGAGCGGCCAGAACTACTTCCGGGGTTTTCACGATCGCTTTTTGACGCAGAGAAATAGTATTTTTGTCATGAAGACAAGACCAGAAAATTCAGAAAATCTCCGTGCACGTGTGTGAAGAATGTATATGTATAAGTATTCTCCGATTAACATTTAAGTGTGTTGATTGAGCGTGGCTAGCTCCGGAGTGGCCGGAACTACTTGTGGAGTTATCCACGCATTTGAAATACAAGCAGAGAGTGCGTTGCCATGGGCAGCGGTCATTATTGTTTTGAGAGGTCCGTTATAGAAAATAATGACCGGTAGAAGGTTTTGAAATTACATTCAAATCAATGGAGCATTCTACTGCTGCTCTGAGGAGCCGTATAATAAATAAATATAACAATCATAATGAATATGCTTTCAAATAATTTAGCAAGCTGTAATTCATTTATTATTCATTTAACTGCCAAACTTCTCTCGCTGCTCCTCTCCTCTCCTCCGCAAACCACTAAATGAGGAAAAGGGAATATTCACTCAATCTATTTTGAATGTTACACATACAATATTAATATAGTCTAAGCACGTGTACCACCTGTAGCTCGTGTATTTACCACAGACTGTAAGTATTAAAGTAATGAGGCCCCTGCTTTAGGCCTCTGCTGTGAGGCCCAAAGTCATCAGTCTCGGTGCCTCTAGATCACACGTCTGTCCTCGGGCTGGAGTGTTCTGAGGCTTTAAGCGGGGAGTCAGGAAGGAGCGATCCTGTTTGTCAACATGATTTTTTTGTTTAACAGCCTCCCTGCGCGATTGCAAATGTACTCAAGGGACTCCCATACCGTGGCTCACATATATAATATTAGGGATCAGGAGCTTTCTGACCCGACCCACCCGCACCTGACATGACTCATATTTTTGAGGCATCCAACCCGCCCGAAACCGCGGGACCCGCGGGTTGACTGCGGGTTTCGGGCCGACCCGCGCATCTCGCATGTCCTGTTCAGGGCTGCAGGAGCAATTGTCCATTATTTTAATTGGACTTCTGGTCCATGCACACTGTAAAAAAGAAAAAGTTAGTTCAACTCAAAATTTCAAAGCAACCAGCTGCGAAGGATTTTTGAGTTGAAGGCATTAACTTAATTCTTCAAGTTTTGAAGAACTACACTTATTAAGTTGTGTCAGTTAAGTTTTCCAAGTTCTGCCAACTAAGTGTTTAAATTCAAGTTACTGGAAATTTCAAGTCTGTAAAAACTTACTTTTTTAAGTTCAGATTACTGTCCCCTACAATAACTTACTATTTTGAGTTTAAATTAGCCCCCACATTAAAAGATCATGATGTTTATTTATATAGCGCATTTCATGGACCAAGGTCACTTGGGTAGGGGAAACCGGAGCACCCGGAGGAAACCTATGCAGACACAGAGAACATGCCAATTCCACACAGAAAGGCCCTGTTCCGACCGGGATTCGAACCCAGGACCTTCGTGTCAAGAAGCGAGAGTGCTATCCACTCAGCCACCGTGCCGGATTTGCAAATTTAGGTAATGACTTATAACAGCAGGGGCCTGGGGTGGGCTTTGTTTATTCGTGCGGGGGAGGGAGAGCTGCAAGAGAGTACTACAGTAGTCCACAGATACACATGTGGACAATGCAGAAGAGATGCCATGGCAGTGCTGTGTCCCCTGAGAATGCACAGTATATATTTTGTAATCAGTTTGTGCATTTCTCAGAACAATTAGTGCAAACGGCAAAACCTCATGGATAACTTGCTAAAAAGTCACTTCCTCAAAATGAACTTGATTCCTCAAAAGAAAGTCTTCATGTCAATGAAACGGTCTGTGTCTGTGTCCTGACACCAGTGTTTATGAACAACAGTCAAATGATTTAGTCATGTTTTCATTGTGACTGTATTTAGTGAGATATATATGTATGTACTGTATGTCTTTCACATATTTACTGCATATGCTCTTTGCAATTCTACAGCATTGTGCAACAAAAATAGCACACATACAGTATTTACGTAGAACAA